TTATATTTTCAAGTGCCTATTGTGTGGCTAGCACTGCTGACAGCAGTGACAAAACAAAGATGCTTACTTTCAGGTTGTTTCTATGAGAGAAGAGAGACATGCAATAAATGTAAAGAAATTTGTAAAAACTATCAGGTAAGTACTAATGAGACAAATACTGTGGAAGCAGTCCAGCAGAATACAGGGATGCAAATATGGTGGGAGATTGCTCTTTAAAGCAGGGTGATTGGAACTGGCCTCCACCGGAACACTGGAGCCAGCCTTGAAGGAACGAGGAAGCAAATGACACAAAGGGCTGGGTAGGCCTGCTCCAGGCAGAAATAAGATGTACTTGATGGGCTCTGGGTTCCAAGAAGAGCCAGAAGGTCAGCAAAGCCGGAGGGAGTGAGGGCACACAGCTCCCAGCACAGGGACCAGATGGCCTGGCATCTTGCAGGCCATGCTACGTTTATTCTTAGTGAAATGGGAAATCATCTCAGGGGTTTGAGCAGAATTACATGATCTGACTTATGTTGTTATGATGGCATTAAATTATTATATTAAATTTTAAAACGAATATTAACTATTTAAAAGGGTCTGGCACAGAGCCTGGAACATGGCTGTCTCCTGCTTTCTTATGCCCATAAGGAAATCACTTACTGACTTGCACCCAAATAAGGGGTCTGTGGGTTCGGGAAGGGAAAGCGCAAGACCCATGCAAGTCACTGGCGCCCTCTCGTGGATGAGCCCATTCAAGCTATGATAGCTGGACGCTATTAGGCTCTTGCCAGTCCAGTTGCCCAGGGCAGCTGGCTTTAAAGTGCTTGTCTGTCCCTGGGCATGCACCCCGAAGAACCCTGTAGCTTGGCACAAGGCTGGACATGTGTGCTGCCAGTCTGCCTTGCTTTTTGATCACAAGTTTATGGTGTCATGGAAAGAGATCTGGGTTCTGGAGGCCAAGGAGCCTCCCTCTCCCTCATCCTCCTTTGCTGCAAACTACTGTGTGACCTTGGCAGGTCACCCCACTTCTCTGGGCCATGGGACCAATCTTAATGATATACTGTATACCTAGCACATAGGAAAATATTGTCAGTCAATATTCATTGAACCAAGTGGGGGCCACCAGCCCTTTATGGTGAATATTTAATTCAGAGAAAAGTAAATAAAATTGTCCACTGGGTATTCATTCAAGAGGTACTTGAATGTTTAATGAGTACCTACTATGTTCCAGGCACTCTTTTGGAGCAGTAGGGATATAATAGTGAATAAAATAGACAAAAACTATTCTTGGGTAGCTGACATTTTAGATATTGAATCAAAGATCAGGGGGGTTATTTGCATATTTGGGGCTTATTTGCATATTCAAGCCAGCCTGTGGTGAGAAGGAGAAAAGGGATGGATATGGCCTCCAGAGACAAGACTGGGAGGGGAGCCAGAGTGGACAGATGGGGTAGGAAAGTGTCCACTGGGCCCTCAGTTCCTGCCACAGTGACCTGTCCCTCTATAGCCCTTCAAGCTCAGTTCCCCCAGATAGGATTAAAGCTGGCCTGGGCCTGGCCCTGGGGTCCCACAGGAAACTACCAGTCTCTGTCAGCCCTCTTCTTCCTTGATGTTTACAGCCTTGTAGAAAACCTCAGAGCCTCTTCAGGAACAGAGGGAGACTTAGGTCTAGGAGGCCATGACTAGTTATTGCAAATAAGGGAAACCATGGGACCTATGTTTCTTTGGGCCTGGCTTACTTCACTTAATATAATTTTTTCCAAGTCTTTCCATTTCCTAACAAATAGGGCAATGTCATTCTTTCTGATGGAGGCAGAGAATTCCATTGTGTATATATACCATATTTTCTTTTTTGGGGGGTCCCGTCGTGGAGCCTGAACTCTGGGCCTGGGCGCTGTCCCTCAACTCTTCAGCTCAAGGCTAACACTCTACCACTTGAGCCACAACGCCACTTCTGGCTTTTTTCTTTTTGCTTATGTGGTGCTGAGGAATCGAACCCAGGGCCTCAGGCATGCAAGGCAAGCGCTCTACCACTGAGCCACCTTCCCAGCCCCATATACCATATTTTCTTGATCCATTCATCTACTGAGGGGCGCTGTGGTAAATAATGCTGCAATATACATAGTTGTGCTGGTAGCTTTAGTATGGTCTTGTTTGTGATCATTTGGGTAAATGCCCCAAAGTGGGATTGCTGGGTTATAGGGGAGCTCTATGTGGAGTCTTTTGAGGAACCTCCATACTACTTTCCAAAGTGGTTGAACAAGTTTACACTCCCACCAACAATGCAGTAAGGTTCCCTTCTGTCCACATCCCCTCCAGCTTCTGTTGTTATTAGAGTTCTTGATTATAGCCATTCTAACTGGGGTGAGGTGGTATCTCAGTGTTGTTTTGATTTGCATTTCTTTTATGGCTAGAAAAGTTGAGCATTTCTTCATGTGTCTATTGGCCACACAAACCTTTTTTATTTATTAATTAATTTATTTTTGGATTGTTTTGTTCATCCCCTGGATTCCCTGAGTCACTGCTGACTCTGGGTGGGACGGGCCCAGGAAGACTCTGCTCAGGAAATGTTTTCCTGGGAACAGAGGGCAGCTCTGAAGACCAGTGGTGTAGTCACGGGTCATAGGTGTGCAGAGAAGAAAAGCCTTCCCTTCAGAGCTTTCCCTATTGATGAAGCCTCCATAAAAGCAGAGAGTTCTGGATGCCGAGGACATGGAGAGGATTACTGTCCTTCGTGGAAGCTGGGGTGAGGCTGGGAAGAGGAGGTAAGACTGAGATCCCGATCTTCCCTACATCCCCACTGACTAGTTTGTACTTACGAACTGCTTTTATAAAGGTGGGTGGTCAACAATTTAGCTATCCCATTGTTTCTTTCCCCTTCGTGGGGGAGATGAATGCCTGCAATTCATTCAGGGGAAAGAGAAGGCTCAAGGCTCCTTTATTTTGTCTCAGATAACCTCCTTCTTACCCACTAGGGCCCAGCCCCTACCCAGATATTTTCCTTACAAAGAAGTCAACTCACATTCTAGGCCCCACATGGTTCCAGAATTAAGAAGTTCCTTGTCAGGCTGGGAGGTGGCTCAGTGGTAGAGTGCTTGCCTTGCATGTATGAGGCCCTGAGTTCCATTCCTCAGCACCACATAAGCAGAAAAAGCCGGAAGTGGCGCTGTGGCTCAAGTGGTAGAGCGCTGGCCTTGAGCTGAAGAGCTGAGGGACAGCGCCCAGGCCGAGTTCAAGCCCAACGACTAACAAAAAAAAAAAAAAAGCTCCTTGTCTACCTTTCCCCCTCAGCCCTTGCCAGTATATGGAGACATTGCAAATGCTACTTGCAGGTCTGCATTTTATGGAGTTTCTCTGGGGGAAAGAAATGATTGAGTGACAGGTGGCAGAAGTGGGGAGTTAGAAGGACCCCGCAGCTTCCCCAGTGCAAAGGGGGCAACCCACCTTCTTACAGAGAAGGAACAGCCTGTGAGCCAGGCAGGATCACACCAAAGGACAGGGAGAGCCACCGGAAAGTTTTGGAAGTTTCTAGAAAAACCAGTTTGGGATGGCAAAGTAGGGACGTTTGGGCTAAAATCTTGATAGGTTTATTCACAGGCAAATTGAATTCATCATCTTTGCAGTCTCTATCCTGTTCCCACGTCCTTTAAAGGATAATCCTTTAAACGTGAGAGGAATAACCTAAAGTCTGAGATCTGAGGGACCCATCAAATTTCCCAGTTTTTTTTCTCTGTGACAGTACTAGGATTTGAATGCTCTTCCTTAGGTGGTGCTCTACCACTTGAGACACATAGCCACCTTCAGGTATTTTTTTTTGGGTCCGGTCGTGGGGTCTGAACTCTGGGCCTGGGTGCTGTCCCTCAGCTCTTCAGCTCAAGGCTAGCGCTCTACTACTTGAGCCACAGAGCCACTTCTGGCTTTTTTCTTTTTGCTTATGTGGTGCTGAGGAATCGAACCCAGGGCCTCAGGCATGCAAGGCAAGCGCTCTACCACTGAGCCACCTTCCCAGCTCCTTCAGGTATTTTTTTTGTGTTTGTTTTTTTTGTTCTGTTTTGCTGTTCAATAGGAGCCTCTCAAATTTATCTGCTCAAGCTGGCTTCAAACTATGATCCTCAGATCTCAGCCTCCAGAAGTAGCTAGGAATATAGGCATGAGCCATGGGTATCCATGGCTTTTTGGAGGGAGTGAAGAAATCACAACATGTCTTGATTGTCCCCAAGTCCCTCTATTGATTAATTCAGTCATCCCTAAACTAAAATAATCGCCTTTTATATACACTAGAGTCTCATATGTTTGTGGGTCTTTTATTCCACTAATATTTTGTATATTTCTTCTTCAGTAGCAAGTCTTGAAACCATTTATGGCTTCATGTTACACGGTAGGTTGTACCCCATGATTTCCTACTTTTCTCTCATATGTCCCACACTCACCTCCCATCTTCCCCAGGTCTCCCACATTTTCCTTTGAAATTTGACTCCCAAAGGTATTGTGTTCCAAAAGCACTGCATTGGAATTACAGATGAATGTAGGATAGACCAACAGTTTAAGAGTCTTGAACCTTTTTTTTTTTTTTTTTAACCAAAACACAAGTTAGGACTTTCCATTTTCAGACACTGTAGTTTTTCCTGAACTGAGCTCTGTACATAAAAGTCTCAGGCTTAATAGAAAGGAGCCAAAGACTTCTTTGAGAGCCTCCATCATAGCCAGTCTATGGAAGAGAAACACAGGTGTTACCTTGCCTCCTGCATTTACCCTGCTGATCTGAGGGTGAGGTTGGGGGAGCAAAGGGATAGGACAGGAATTAGGCCTAACAGAAGGTACTGTGGCTCCCCAGCCCCGCTACATGTCCAGCTCACATCTGTTCTACATGCTGCCCCTATGTACTAGGGCTGGGAGGTCCCGGGGGGCAGTCTGGCTAGGCTAGAGGGTGTTATGGTCCATCTCAGAGTAATGGGTGGTGTGGGAAAGGACCCTGCCCCCCTCCAGGGGACCCAACAGTCAAGACAGCAGGGGGCACGCAGGCTTGTGCTCATTCTTTATTGTTTCTGTCCACAGCCCCAACAATAGGAGGGTCAGGCAAGGGGAGGTGGTGCCCTCCTGCCAGCCTGAGCCCAGTCTGCTTCTCTCTTTCCTCTCCTCTCAGCATCTCATCCTCTCTCTTCTGTATCTCCTACTCCCACATCCAACACCTTCGGGGGTTCCCTCTTACAGCCCCTGCTTTCTAAGTTCACCCCAAGCTGGGGAAAGGAAAAGGAGGGACCGGGGGAACACTTACAAGTGCCTCGGTCCCCATAGGGGTCCTTGCCCAGCTTGCTGAGGAGACCTTCTTTTCTTTCTTTATCCAGGCTAGGGGGTAGGAAGGGTCAAAGGCCCCATCCAGACCTAGTAGCCCCAGACCCTGCTCCAGATCTCTCTCCCTAGAGGCTAGAGCCTGAAATCAGGGAGGTGGGACCGGCTTCTGGGTTGGGCCCGGCTCCATCCAGTACAACAGTCAGGTTCACCCACTTCCAACAGCCAGGATGGAAGGCAGGATCTGCAGGGGTGACTAGGGAGTGCTCCCTGGGGCTTAGTGGGATGGGACTATGGGGAAGGGGGTGGTGGACAGTGAGGAGGAGTCAGAGGCTGTGAGGAGAGAAAGGCAGCTGCTGTGGCATCCCAGGATGGAGAGGCTGGCTTGAGGAGGCAGTGAAGTGTCTGGAGGGGCCAGGACAGTGTCTGAAGGTCTCTGGCTTTAGAGTACCTCATGCTGCTGCTGTGTGGCCTCACTGACAACCTGCACGGGAAGAGAAGCCCAATCCAGCCCAATTCAACCCACTGCTCGCTGAGAGGAAACTCAACCCTGTTTACTCCACCCCAATTCAGCAGGGACCACTCATCCTCAGCCACAGGCCCCAACCTGCGCAGGTGGTGGAAAATACCTGGCTGGCAGCTTCCCAGATACCCACCAAGGACAAAGGGCCAGGCAGACCACTCACCTCTCCATCTCGCGTCTCAATAGTCTTGATCATCACAGTCTTCTTGGTGTGGACCTCGGAACCCCTTTGTTCAGGGCTAGTTTCTGTAAGAGACCATACCGTGTGCTCATCCTAATTCTGGGCTATCTGGAGGACTAGAAGCTCAATCTAGGCTTTATCACTCAGAGCCATGGCAGATTTCCTCCCTCAAGATGAGTGTTTGACTTTCTCAAGACTTTAATACCCATCCCACAGCCCAGCACCTAGAAAGTGGGTCTAAAGAGTCCTGAGCCAGCTCCAAAGTTGGAATGGTCTCAGAATCTTTGAGGGTCTAACATTTATATATTCTCTACCATTTTTTTTTTGTTTTGTTTTTGCTTCCTTTCCCCCTTGGGCTCCAGGAAAGTCCTACATCATTTTGTATCTTGGGAATCTTGGGAGAGAGGATGAGAACCATAATGTCCAGCATTGTTTTGGGTTTTATTTTGTTTTGTTTGTGAGTACTAAGGCTTAAACTCAGGAGCTAAGTGCTGTCCCTTCTTTTTTGTTGTGGTTGTTGTTGTTTGTTCAAGTCTGATGCTCTATCACTTGAGCTAAAACTCCACTGCTAGCTTTTTGGTGATTAACTGGAGATAAGATTTTCACAAACTTCCCTGTATGGGCTGGCTTTGAACCATGATCTGAGGATCTAGTGCTCCTGAGTAGCTAGGATTATAACACCAATGCCCAGCTCAAGCCCAGGTCTGAGGCACTCTTTTGGAGGATCTTTGAGACCCAGACTTCTTTGGGCTCAGAATGGGCAGCTTGATGTCTTAATGAAGTGAGATGGAATGGGAATTAATCACTGATCACTGTGCTGATTCTCTGACCTGTTGTGCCTCAGTTTCCTCTCTGGGAAATGGTTACAATTATGCTTGCTCTATTATGGCATAGAGCTATCAATCTGACAAAGAAAGCATCAATTGATTTCACATGCAAGACTCACACTTGGTGTCTGTATAAACAACCAATTGAAAAGAGTGGTCTGAGTTTTATAGGGTGGGTCAAATTTAAGCTGTTAGTATCACAAGTTTGGCATTCACAAATCTCCTTAGCAAGCATAGCCTGGGCTGAATGCCGTGACTCAGTGGAGCAGTGGAGCACAGTGTGTATTTTTTCCTGATGGAAATGAACATCGAAGACATAAAAGGTTTGATCTAGGAAAGGATCAGCTGCCAAGGACTCTGACTTGCCTTCCTAATGTGTCATTAGAATGCGTTTTTCTGCTCTCTGGGGTTGGAAAGCCACTCAATCTGCATATTACTAATGTCGAGATGGCAGAATGCCCTCAGAGCTCATTCTTTTCATTGTTTGGCTTTGCTAAGATTTGGCTTCGTTTTTTTCAACCGTGCATCCAATATCTTATTCCCACAAACTTGAGGTGCCCAACAAATGGGAAGTCAATGTTTGGCAACATGCAGACAGATCACGGAGAACTTGTCACCCAGCAGGTGAGATGAACCTGCCACCTGGAACTCACTCCTGGTTCTTTCAGAGTTTGGAATTCAGAACACAGGTTACTTCCTGAGGCCCAGTACTCCAGGCAATGTACATCACAGTCCAAAAAAGAAGGCCTCTCCTCTCTCTCTCTCTCTCTCCCCCTTCCCCCTCTCTCCTCCCTTCCCTCTCCCCCAGTGCCTGATGTGCCTCTGTGTACATTCTCTACCTGCCATGGGATCCCTTTCTCCTCCAGGCCTGGCCAGTTCTATCTTCCCCTCCTGGCAGGCTTTGAGCAGTGCCCAGACTGTGTTCATGGACCCTGTAACCCCAATTCCCCCACCCAACACACATTTACCTCGGAAGTTGAGAGCAGAGAAGGTCTGGACAGGGAGATTGATTCTGGAAAAAAAAAAAAAAAAAGACAAGTCCCCAGAGGGTTAAGAACACTCCCTTCTCTCCCTGTGAGCACCCATCAAGTCTCCTCATCCTTGTCCTCTCCCTCAATGCCATCCTCAGCTGTCCCAATCTCACTCACTGGCCCCCATCACTCTTACTGCCCATACTGTACACAGCCTAGGATCAAAAGCCACCTCTAGCTGTCCTGGGAATTGTCTCCTCTGGAAGGATCCAATGTTGGCCTGTAGGTATGAGATGAGGATGCCCAGCCCTATTGTACCGCACAAGTCCCCATCCCTTCCTCCTGTTCTGGCCCTGTAGGAATATGGCCAGCAGCTGTATGTGGCATCCACCATGTGCCCACCCTCCAGACAGGCCACCCTCCAGTTCTAGAAACTGACCATGGATCACTGGTGCTGGGAGGAGGGGGGTAGGGAAACAACAACAACAAAACACAGCTCTTGCTACCTTAAAAGGCTATTTATCTAGACTGCACTTTACAAAATCTGAAATCTCTTTTTAGGTATAAGTCCATAGCTAAACATGTCTGCCACTTTGTTTTTAACCACAGCTTTATTTTTATGACTATTGATAAGTACCATTCTTTCAGAGCAATAGATCTGTCTTATACTGAGGATAAATTTACACACAGTGTAATGGGAAGATCCAATGAATGTTATCAACATCTGTATCCATGTGACAACCAGTCTGAGTCCAGACTCTGTATGTATGTATCTGTGTGTGTGTGTGTGTGTGTGTGTGTGTGTGTGTGTGTGTGCTGCTGGTCCTGAGGCCTGAACTCAGGACCTACAATGCTGTTACCGAGATTTTTGCTCACTGCTTGAGCCACAGCTCCACTTGCAGGTTTGTGTTGTGTTGTGTTGTGTGTGTGTGTGTGTGTGTGTGTGTGTGTGTGTGTGTGTGTGCTTGGTGATTGATTGGAGATAAGAGTCTCAAGGACTTTTCTACCCAAGCTGGCTTTAAAGTGCAATCTTCAGCTCTCAGCCTCCTGAGTAGCTAGAATTACAGTTGTGAGTCACTAGTAACTGGCATAAAATAGTTTTATCACCCCAGAAATCTCTCTCATATCCCTTCTAATTGGTTGTTACCCATGTCTAAAAAGGGCTTGCTTTATGCACATCACCTATGTGTCTTCTTGTGAGTGTGCACCTGGGGGCTCACACTTGTCTCTCCGTGCCCTCACTTAGCCTATCATGTGTGCAAGGCTTTCTATGCCTTCCTGTCTCATTTTATCTCTAGTTGCCCCCTCTCTTTCCTTCTTCATCATTCCCCAGTCTGCTTTCATCTCTCCCTTGACTGGCAGTAATATTTTATTACTGATTGCTGAATATGATTTTGTGCTGCTGGTTTTTAATTCTAAAGCTGGGTAAGGGAATACTTATATTTCTCTTTTTATAAAAGCTGTTAATTACATCATTCTGTACCCAAATGGCCTTTAATTCTCTGCGATGAGTAAGCGGAACAGTGGCCTCTTCTATCAATTATTTTGAAGTTTTGTTGAGATGATCTGGACAGACTGGGTCCCCCTACACCTAACACCCCAACCAACCCCTGCCTTGTTCCTCACCGGCTCTCCTCGCCCTCCAGCAACTTCCGGTAGGTGGCGATCTCCACATCCAGGGCCATCTTCACATTGAGCAGGTCCTGGTATTCGCGCAGGTGGCGGGCCATCTCATCCTTGAGGTGCCGGATCTCCTCCTCCAGGCGGGCGATGTTGTCCTGGTAGCCGCTGGCCTCGTTGGCAAAGCGATCCTCCAGCTCCCGCATCTGCCTCATCAGGGAATCGTTCTGCGGGAATTGGGAGAGCTCAAGTCACGAACAGGCTCAGACCATGTCCAGAAACGAGGACAGTAAGGGACTAGAATGGTCCCTTAGAATTGCTAAGCAGCAATTCTAGATGGTTAGGGATTGTCAAAGCTTCTTAACTAGGAAACCCTGAACTCAGGAACTCAGATGAAGTCTTAAGATCAAGCCACATAAAAGGGAATATCTTCATTTAGTCTCCCCATTCCCCACCTAGGGAGATGCCCTTCAGAGCCTTCCAAGTCCTTAGAGCCCAACTGTGAACCCAGTCTGTTTTCACCCCTGTTGTGGATGTGAGAGGAAGACCCACAGAGGGAGCCAAAGTCATCAAGTGTGGGTGTGAGCAGCAGACGTGAAGGAACTGAGCTTGTGGAGATGGGCAGGAACTCACTGTGCCCTTGAGGGCATCGATCTCGCAGGTGTAGGACTGGATCTGGTGTCGGTATTCCATCATCTCCTGTTTAGCCTGGCGCAGGGCATCATTGTTCTTGTTGGCTGCCTGGGTCAGGTCGGACACCTGCAGGTAGAAAGAGGGCCTGTGCAGGTCTGGCAAGCAAGAAGCATGGACACTCTATGCTCACCCTCCTCTGTAGATGGAGTCACAGGCAGCACCTCCATGCTGGGATTGAGGGGGACAGAGGTACCAAGTTCCTGGGCCAAGCCACTCACCTTGGACTTGTACCACTCCTCAGCTTCAGAGATGTTCTTAGCCGCGATGGTCTCGTACTGAGCCCGGATGTCCCTGAGGGCCGCTGTGAGGTCTGGCTTGGACATGTCCATCTCCACATGGACCTGCTGTTCTTGAAGCTGGGCCTGCAGCTCACGGATCTCCTGAAGGGTATGGCTGGGCTTTAGTCCCCTTTCAGGTCCCCTAGGGGCACCCTTACACCCTCACTACTAGAGTCAGCCCCATGTTCCAGCTGCTTTCATCGCAGTCCAAGGACCCTGCGTACCTCTTCGTGCACTTTCTTAAGGAATGCAATTTCTTCATTGAGAGATTCGATTCTGCGCTCCAGATCAATGCGAGCTAAAGTGGCTGCATCTACATCCTGGGAAAGGTCAAGCAACAAGGACAGAGTCAGGGAACAACCAGGTGGGGCAGAGGGAGACCAGAGGGAAAAGACTACTGGGGGGGGCCAGGGACCGCTCACCGCTCTGAAGGCAGCCAAATTGTTCTCTGCTTCTTCTTTCAGTTGGATTTCTTCCTGCAGCCTAATCAGGACAGACAGAACAACCAACAGTTGGGGTGGAGGGAGGGGCAGACAAAGTAAGGAAGTTGGCAGTGACAACAAGGGGCTCATCAGGGAGTGAATTCAAGACAGGAGGCCTGCCAGCTGAGTAGAAAGGAAAGGCTCAGAAGGGGAGTGTCAGAGGCCACGCCCACCCAGGGAGGGGACCGGAAGTGGCTCTCTGCCCTGGAGCCACACCCTTGAAGTCTCTGTCTACCAGACCGTGACCTCCCTGGGGTTAGGAACTGTGTCTATTTTATCCATCTCCATGTCCCTGTTTCTCAGCCTCAGCCAGACCCGTGTAATGGTTCAATTATAGTTGGTGACTCTGGCAGTAGCAGGAGGGTGACTGCTCACTGGGTAAACAGAAGCAGGACCCATAGTCATCTATACTCAACCTTGTATATTGGATGTGTGGTGGAGTCTCCCTGCTAGTTCTCCCAAGCTTTCAAAGGCCAGAACCTCCCCCATTCTCCTCTTGACTCAAGCTCACCCACTTACCTTGTGAAATGACACAGCCTCAGCCAGGCCCAGGCCACAGGTTCCCTTCTCTTCTCCCCTCCCCAGGGCCTCATCACAGCTGAGCTTGGCTTCCCTCCCCTGTGCCCACTTTTCCTGTCCCCAGTCAGCCTGGCTTTCTTCCTCTGACTGCTCTGAACCCCGCCCGGGGCTCTTCCTCCTCTATCCAGCCCTACCTCGGAGGCCTCTTGGATTCTTTTTAAGGTGGCTCCCCACAGAGCACTGGGCTTCCTTCCCAGGGCCTCCCCTGTCTTGCCCTTGATCTATCTCAAGACAATTCCTCCTGGATTAGGAGATTGCAAAGGAGAGAGATCTGGGGTCCATTTCTTTTTTTTTTTAAGGGCAAGTTGGGGGAGAAGGGGGTTGAACCTCTCCAAGCACAGGGTCAAGGAGGCTCCCAACCCACCCTCCCCCGCCCCGCCCCGCCCCGGAAGGGGGGCGGGCAAGAGAGCGCTGAGCAGTGGGGCCATCCTCACTTGGCCTTGAGGCGCTGCAGGTCGTCGATGAGGTTGTCGCGCTCGACGTCCACGCGGGCCCTCTGGTTGGTGAGTACCTCCACCTGGCGCCGCAGCTCGCGCAGCTCCTCCTCGTAGAGCTCGGCCACGCGCGTGGGCTCGCGGCCCTTAAGTCGGTTGACCTCGGCGGCCAAGGCGGCGTTCTGCTGCTCCAGGAAGCGCACCTTCTCGATGTAGTTGGCGAAGCGGTCATTGAGCTCCTGCAGCTCCACCTTCTCGTTGGTGCGCGTGGTCAGGAACTCCTGGTTCACCGCGTCGGCCAGCGAGAAATCCAGCAGCTCGCCCGCGCCGTACGACGAAGGCCCGCGGGTGGCCCCCAGCCGGCTGGCCCGCAGGGACCCCAAGCCCCCGGCGCCCCCCGACGTGCGCGACACCTGGTACACGCGGGAGGTCATGGAGCTGGAGGAGCCCTTGGTGCCGAAGCCCGCGCGGGGGAACACGGGCGAGCTCAGCGGGGAGCCGAGCGAGAAGCCGGGGGCGCCGCCGAAGGTGCGGCGGTAGGAGGACACGCGCTGGCTGGACGAGTAGGCCTGGCTCATGGTGGCGGTGCGGGCGAGGCTGGCCGGGGGCGCACGGAGCAAGGGCGGCGGGCGGCCGGCGCAGAGTGGACGGCTGGACGAGGGGACACGGAGCCCCTAGGCGTCCGCTCTATTTGTAGCCCTCCTGACATCAGCCCGCGCCGCCCCTCCCCTGACAGCTGCAGGATCCCTCTGTCCTGCCAGGAAAGGGCGGCCGCTGGCGGGCGGGCGAGGGCGGGGAGGCCGGCTCCCCCCCCCCCCCACACACACACCGCGGGAGGCCCGCGCCCCCAAGCCCGCCCAGAGCCGAGGGGGGGCTGCCTGGCTCCAGACAGCAGCAGACAGGCAGGCCGGCAACAAGCCAACCCAGCCGGGCTGGAGCCCCAGGCAGGGGACCCCTTTCAGCATTGGGGTTACCTCCCTTCTCCTGGAGGGGTGGTGTTGGTGACTGAGAAGAGTAGGCTAGACATTTCCATTTCATTTAGGGGAGGGTCCCCCCCCCCTTTTTCTTTCTCCAAGGAGAGACTTTGGGTCATTTGAAAGAATAAGATCTGTACCAAGAAAGGCCCTAAACCACCCTATTTCTGAAGACTTAGACACTGGAGCTGTGTGGCAAAGAACAGCGTCCAGCAGCTAGGCAGTGAGGGAGGCTAGGAGGGCACAGAGCAAGCCTGGCCAGAGCCTGCTTGCACAGAGATGTCCCCTGGCACTTTGGTTCCAGCTCTGAGCCTCAGTGTCCCTCTGGATGATAGTAGGCCTTCCCCCTCTCCCCCGCTTATCAGCCAGCAGGGTGATTTCCAGAAAGAGTCTGATGGTCTCTCCGGTTCCAATGGCTGGGTAGAGTCATCTGCCACCCACCTCCAACCCAGCACTGACTGGCTCTGTCCCCTCACTGCTTCTCCAAGCCATCCCCCTACTCACACCGCCCACACCCACTCACACCGCGGGTTTGTGATTTGTTAGGAGCCACGTGTCAACTCAGCCATCTCCCTGGCAGTAAACAGCTGCCCAAATACCAGAGCTGGTATTTATAGAGGAGAATGCAAGGGCTCTGAAACAAGGTACAGGAGAGTCGCTAAAGGGGTGTGTGTGGGGGGGGCGCTAAAGGGGTGTGTGTGTGTGTGTGTGTGTGTGTTCCTGCACCTGAAAAGGCATGAGCTTCAGAGGTTCTAGGAAAGCTAGAGGTGACAAGCCCCAATCACTTCCTATCCCTACAACGCTCCAGGCCTCCATCCAGAATGAAGCCCCAAACTGAGCGCTGATGGCTCACACCTGTAATCCTAGCTACTTGGGAGGCTGAGATCTGAGGATCTTGGTTCAAAGCCAACCCAGGCAGGAAAATCCATTAAGACTCTTATAGCTAATTAACTACCAGGAAACCTGAAGTGGCACTGTGGCTCCAAGTGGAAGAGCACTAGCCTCCAGCAGAAGAGCTCAGGAACAGTACCCAGGCCCTAAATTCAAGCCCCATGACCAAAAAGTAAGTAAAAAAAAAATTTTTTAAGCCGGAAAAGATGGTTTGCTTCCTCCCCCCCCCCCCCCCCCCACTGAGCACAAGGCACTTACTGACCCCTAAGAACATCCACATTTCTCCATGCACACTGGCTGTGTCTCTCTGTTGGCACTCTGTAGGCCAACTCTAGGGAATGAAAAACCCTAGAAATAAAGCACTGGATTAGGAGCCTGTAGCTGGTACTGTCCCCAGCCCTGCAGGAAGATTGACTAGAAGTCACATCCTTTACCTCACTGAGCCTTCGGGTCTTCAGCCATAAACTGGGACTGGTCAGCTTTACATTCCACCCTATAGAGCGTGAAGAGGCCCTAACAACAAAAATACACAATAATAATACAGTATGTTTACTAACCACCTGTTGAGTATGTCACACTGTGATCCCCAGTTCAACAACCCCATGAGGTAAGGACTTGCATCATTTTTATTTCTTTCCTTCCTTCTTTCTTCTTTTCTGTTTCTCTCTCAACCTCCCTCCTGCCCTTCCTTCTTTCCTGCCTCCCTCCCTTCTTCCCTTTCCCTCCCTCCCTTCCTCCCTCTTTCTTTCTTTCCTTCCTTCTTTCTTTTTGGGGTCTGGTCTTGGGCCTGAACTCTGGGCCTGGGCGCTGTCCCTCAGCTCTTCAGCTCAAGACTAGCACTCTACCACTTGAGCCACAGCACCACTTCCGGCTTTTTTTTCCTGCTTATTTGGTGCGCTGAGGAATCGAACCCAGGGCCTCATGCATGCAAGGCAAGTGCTCTACCACTGAGCCACCTTCCCAGCCCCTTTCTTTCTTGTTTTCTTTCTGTCATGGGGCTTGAACTCTAGGCCTGGGCCCTGTCCCTGAGCTCTTCAGCTCAAGGCTAGTGCTCTACCACTTGAGCCACATACAGTGCCACTTTTGGCCTTTTCTGTTTATGTGGTGCTGAGGAATTGAACCCAGGGCCTCATGCATGTGAGGCAAGCACTCTACCGCTGAGCCACCTTCCCAGCCCCTTCCTTCCTTCTTTCCTTCCTTTTTTCTTTCTTTCCTTCCTTTCTTTTTCCTTCTTCCCTCCCTCCCTCCCTCCCTCCCTCCCTCCCTCCCTTCCTTCCTCCCTTCCTTCCTTCCTTCTTTGCTAGATCCTGGGGCTTGAACTCAGGGCCTGGGCACTGTGGGAGAGGAGGTTGGTCCGGGAGGGGGGGGTTACCACTTGAGCCATACCTCCACTTCTAGCCTGTTCATGGTTAATTGGAGATAAGAGTTTCACAAACTTTCCTGACCAGGCTAGCTTTGAACACCAGTCCTCAGATCTAAGACTCCTGAGTAGCTAGGATTACAGAGGTGAACCTCCAATGCTCAGCTCATCATTTCTATTTTCTAACTCAGCACACTGAGGCAGTCTGACTCTTTGGCCCTGGACTGGATATGAATGTTCCAACTGAACTATAAAGGACTTTGCTACTGCTGGGTTGTTGTTGTTTTTGTTTGTTTGTTTGTTTTTTCCCTCAAAGCCCTTCGCGTTAAATGTCTAATTTTTATCTGAGAGACAAGCTTATAAAGTGGATAGGGAGTTCCATATATTCTTATCCAGCTTTGAAGTCAGTGCAAGCTGTTGTGTTCTGGTTATTTTTGTGTCTCAGCATCCATTCTTAGACTGTGGACTCCTGGATGGCTGTGTAGAGCCTTAACACCTTCAGTTGTCATTATCATTCAAAGTAGCTTACAAGCTTTCTTGCCCTTCACTTTATTTTGAGGACATCTACTTATGGTTGCACCCTCCTCGACACCCCCACAAAGAGTAGCTGTGCAACTGATCTCAGCTAGTCTCATTAGTGCATCTTCAAACACAGTTCAAGGGGTGGGTCTGGGCCTGAGCAGGGCCAATCGGAGGCCTTCTCTGGGATTTATTGATTGTTAAACCGTGCTGGCCCTGTTTCCTGCCCCCAGGGTGAATAGAGGAAGAGAAAGATTAACTTGCAAGAAGCTGAGAAATCTAGAGAGGAGAAGCAGGCCTGGTTGGCAGGTCTCAATTCCAGCCCTGGGGCCCTGCCTTCCTTAAGTACTTTTCTCCATTTTGTGAGTTCCCCTCCACCTTTCTTGGCCTTGAGCTAATAAACTCTTTTCACTGAAGGCGCTAGTGTTGGCTTAGATCCCTTATGCCCAAATAACTGACTAAACCACTATAGACCACTCATACTTTTTTCTTTTTTTCTTTATTAGCATAAATCAACTACACAAAGGGGAATTTCACTGTGACATTTCCATGCATGCATATGTATGCCAATCAATTTTCTCTATCTTTCACTCTCCCTTCACACCATCCCAACAGTGGTTCAACAGCTTTCAGTGTTCTATTTTCACACCTGTAGACAGCCAGTTTTGACCATCTCCATCCTCTTTCACCCTCATTGGGTGAAATGTGTCCCCCTGTTTCTCCTTTCACCCTTTGATCAACAGCTTTCACTGAGTTCTTTATGCTGTTTTCATATATAGTCTGCACACCCATTTCTATGATACTACCAAAGATGACTTATCTGGGCTTCTCCCTGTGAATGGTCTCTAGACCACATAAGGAAATTGGCTTTAGGACCAACCAGTGGCCTCAGTTCCTTGATGAAATGAGGCAGAAAGTAAATAAATACCAACTCCTTTCTAGTCCAAACTAACAGCTACCAGATTTGGCTCTGAACCAATTGGGATTGTTTCCAGCATTTGGTTTCACCCCTGAGGATTTGCTACCAATGAAGGCAGCAAAACAACACCCTGGGGTCTGGAAGGTAGGTGAATGAGCAGCACACCAAGGCATGCTATAAGTGGACCATCCCCATTGGGAGGGGGACCACTAGAACTGGATGCACTAAAAGTAATCATAGTTTATCTGTATAGGTAATGAGCTTGGGGCCCAATGCAAGATGCATGAAAAGCTATAAAGTGCAAAGTAAGTGTTTTTCCCACTTTTGACACACAGCCACAGGGACAGAGACATCCTTCAGAGATTGCTAGTTTTAGCTTGTTATTGTTATTTCCTTCCAGAGCTACTTTGCACATATAAAAGCACATTTGTATAGAGGAACCTCCTCCTCCTTTTCTCTGTACCAGTACTGGGACTTAAATTTAGGGCCTAGGCACTATCCTTCAGCTTTTTCACTCAAGGCCAGTACTCTACTTGAACCACAGCTCCACTCTGGCTTTTCGGTGGTTAATTGTAGATAAGAGTCTCATGTACTTATCTGCTCAGGCTGACTTTGAACCATGATCCTCAGATCTCAGCAGCCTGAGTAGTTAAGATTATAGGCATGAGCCAGCCACTGGTGCCTGGCTCTTCTCTCTTTTCTTTCATTGTTGCTTTGTTCCTTCCTTCCTTTCCTCCCTCCATCTCCTTTTTCTTTTTTATTTTATTTTATTTTTTTGGGTCCGGTCGTGGGGCCTGAACTCTGGGCCTGGGCGCTGTCCCTCAGCTCTTCAGCTCAAGGCTAGCGCTCTACCACTTGAGCCACAGCGCCACTTCCGGCTTTTTTCTTTTTGCTTATGTGGTGCTGAGGAATCAGGCATGCAAGGCAAGCGCTCTACCACTGAGCCACCTTCCCAGCCTCTCTTTTTTATTTTTTTAAATTAAATTTTATTTTATTTTTGTTTGTCGTGGGGCTTGAACTCTGGGCCTGGGCGCTG